TACAGTTATTGGTAAAAATGAAGAAGGTATCTTTTATTTTATGGAATAAACTAAACAGACTTTGGCCAACCCAATAGAATTGCATATGAATGGAATCATATAGTATGTATTCTTCTTTTGGGTCTGTTTTTTCAGTAAGTATAATGTTTTTGATATCCATCCATATTGTTGTCCCTATCAGTAATGGTTTTCTTTTTATTGCATATTAGTATCACATTGTATGAATATACCAGTTTTTATCCACTCTTCTTTTGATTGACACATAGGTTCTTTCCACCTTTTTGGGAGGGTGTTTATTATGCATATGTCTGCTATGATCATCCTTGTAAACTTTCATTTCTTGGGTAAATATCTTGGAGTGGAATTGCTGGAACTACGTCGGTGCTTGCTTAGTTTTAAAAAACCTGCCAGATGTTTCCAAAGAGGTTGTACCATTTTACATTCCAGCACTAGCAATATGTAAGAATTCTGGTTGCTTGACATCTTTGTCAACATGATGTTATCAGTCTTTAATTTTAGCCAGTCTACTGAGTGTGTTGTGGTATCTTTCCATAATGTTTATTTTCATTTCCACGATATTAATGATATTGCATGTTTTCATGTGCTTATTAACTACAGGCATACCTTGGAGATATTACAGGTTCAGTTCCAGACCACCACAATAAAGCAAATATCACAATAAAGCAAGTCACACATTTTTTTTTTGGTTTCTCAGTGCACACAAAAGTTATGTTACACTATACTGCGGCCTATTAATTGTGCAATAGCATTATGTCTAAACAACAAGGTACATACCTTAATTAAAAATACTTTATTGATAAAAATGCTAACCATCATCTGAGCCTTCAGCAAGTTGTTTTTTTTTCCTCATGGAGGGTCTTGCATTGATGTTTATGGCTGCTGACTGATCAGGATGGTGGTTTCTGAAGGTTGGGGTGGCTGTGGCAACTTCTTAAAATAAAGCAACAATGATGTTTGCCTCATCAGTTAAAAGGTTGCCACATTGATTTTACTCTCCCTTTTACAAATGATTTCTCAAATATCACTGATCACAGATCACCATAAAAATTTAATAATAATGAAAAAGCTTGGAATACGACATAGATACATGAAGTGAGCAAATGCTGATGGGAAAATGGCATCAATATACTTGCTTGATCCACGGTTCCCACAAACTTTCAATTTGTAAAAAACATTATTTGTGAAACACAATAAAACAAGGTATGCCTGTGTTTATTTTTCTTCTTTTGTGACATGGTTTTTCAAATCATTTGGCCATTTAAAAAACTGATTTGTTTGTATTTTTATTTTTGAGCTGCAGGAGCTCTTTATACATTCTGGGCACAACTTCTTTGTCAGATATATGTTTGTGAATATTTTAATCTGTGGATTTCCTGCTCATTTTATTAACCATGTGTTTTGATAAATTGGTTTATCTTTGTACCTCCTGCTATTCCCATGCATAGCTGAAACTTGATAATATTTACTGAATAATAAAGCTAAAAATTGTTCCTCCTTCCCTCTTTTATTCAGTAACACCGATTACCTACTATGTGGCAGCCTCTCTCCTGTGCTTTTGGTGATACAGCAAAAAGCAAAACAAACAACCTTCTTAATCTCATGGCACTTACATTTTAATCTATATGTACATGGTGTTGGGGTGGGAAACAGAAAAACAAATGAAAAGAAAATATGAGGTAATTATAGCTGCTGTAATACAAAAATGCACTGTATGTGTAATGAGAAAAGGATGATTGGGGGCTATTTCAGGTTAGAGGGTCAAAAATCTGAAGAGATAATATTTAAGCTGAGACCAGAATGAGAAAAAGCCATTTTTTCCCCTGGGGGAAAGGGATCTCATGCAGAGGGAACAGGTAATAAGACCTTTAAGGAACAGGCCTTTAAGGTGACTTGAGACTAGGTACAAACTATACAAAATACCTTTTTAGGTAAACTAAAGTGACAGAGACTGGTTGCTTTGGAAATTATAATAAATGGAATAAGCTGTTGCTATACTGTTACTCTTTCTTAGTACTGCAGTACTTAGCAGTATCTCAACATCTTCCCTGCCTTCCCTGCACCCCTGAGCTCCTAGGGTCCAAGATGCTTTGAAGTTTGGAATTGTGGATTGGCTAACACAATGGTCATCTGGATTAAGTCTAGGTCAGGAAATCTTTTCCATCAAAGGTGACTAAGTGATAGACAAAGTAAATCAAGGGTTACATAAGTAATAAGCAACTACATTTGTGTTTATAAGATAATAAAATATGAAATGTTTTGCCTCTGATTTTTATGTTTAGATCCTGTAATGTGAGTCTAAAAATAAAATGTCAGTTTGATAAATGGAATATAATTTATTTCTAAAGTTTTCCTAGTTTAGAGAGAGATGGAAGAAAAGATGATGGGAAGGGATAATGGAAAATGGAGATAGAGAGAAAGTGAAATAGAATAAAAAACAGGTGTAGAAATGGTGGTATATTGACCAAGAGGAGGAATGAAACAGTCCTAGAGGGAGGAGGAGAAGCTGAGAAAAAAGTGGGCAAAAAGGAAGTCAGAAGTTAAATAGGTTTTGTGTGTGTTCCTATCATCCTCTTGTGCCCTTGGGCTTGAGCACCACAGTATGTTATTTTTTCCTTTGAAAAATGTGATGGTGTTCTCTAGTAAAATTTAAGACATAGTTTTCTTCTGTGTTTCCCTTCTGATGAGCTGTTTCAATTCTACATTAGTGCCAAATTCCTTGCATGATTTTTTTCACTATTTTCTTCTATTATACTGCTTTTTCCTCTAATCAAAAATTGGAGATCTTTGAATTAAGAAAACAAACTACTATGTCTCTAGTACCCATTCTTCCATACTTCAGATGGAAAGTTGCCTATAACCAAAATCATACCTTCTGATCATCATGGTTTTAATCATTATTATAGGGCAAATCCCATTTCTATTGTCAGGATTTTGGACACACACACACACACAAAGTGTGGTTCTGACAGGACTTATGCTAAGTGCAGATAGTTTTTAACTCAGTTGGTCAAACCAAGTCCTCTGGAGACCAGCAAGTTCCATGTGAAAAAAAATCACAGACCATCTGGTTGATGACTTGCTGTACTCCAGCAAGTGAAGGTTTAAGGAGTGCAGTTAATTGGGCATCACTCTGGTCAGAACTGCTGAGACAGGGCAATAGCAGATTTGGCTTTATCTTGAAGGAGTGAGATGGATGGCTGCTTCCTAATAATCTTCATTAGAAGAAGCTTAACTGAGCCTGGATAGAAAAAAAAAACAACCGAATTTACAGGATGGTTGCTAGAAATTTGATGTATATACATGCCCAGGAAAACAATTAGTCAAAGGTATATAGCTACACTGATCAGTCATGAACTGAATATATATGCTATAATGCAAAATTATTGATTGTCCTATAGCAGGAAGAGCAACCTTGTAAGGGGAGATGAGAAAGTGAACAATGAATGAAATTTAGCAGTACACGTATGATACACACCAGCTCATCAGAATGGAAACACAGAATAATCTATTTAAGAGGAGACAATTGGATATCCGAAAACTAATGTAGATTCTACAGTCTTGGGGACCCCAAGTTCCAGTTCTCTTGTCAGTTCAATTTAAGGTTGCAGAATTGGCACATGAAACCTCAGGGCATATGGGTGTGAATGTCCTAGGTAAGCAGAGGAGAGAGGATGAAGAAAACAAGCTATAAATCAAATAAGAAACCGAGTAAGCAATATGAGATATGTAAAATTACTAAAAATTTGAATCGCTAGCAAACATTTTTTATTAAAGTATATTTGACATGCAATATTATATTGGTTTAGGTATACAACATAATGATTTGACATTTATATTCCTTACAATGTGGTCAACACAATAAGTCTAATAACCATCTGTCACCATACAAATTATTATAATATTGACTATTTTCTCTATGCTATTTCCACAGCTATTATGTCTCTGTGACTTATTTATTTTTTATACAGAAATCATTTTTAAGGGAAATGGGAGTGGTAAACCAGAGAGGTGTGACAAGTAGATAATACTGGGCTAATCTCTACATTTTTAAGCAAAGAATATGGCTTTCAGAAGCATAAACACTCAGAAAGAAGGTGTGCAAAGAACTCCAGACATGCAGATGAGAATAGTATAACTATGGTTTTTAGGCAAAGTTAGAGGAACCATATGCTAGATATGGAACATTGGCCATAATAGGAAATGGCCAAGGAACTAATTTAAAACAGAAGTTGTGTAAAATTTGCAAAAGGCAGAGAATGTGGGAATTTCATAGACTATAAATCTCCTAGGTTGCAGAGGCAATTGGAAACTTTGATGAATGGATTATTAAATCACAGAAAGAATTTAGCAGCACCAGATATAAATGGCAATGAGACAAACATGCTAATAAAGAGTGAACTGAAAGACTCTGAGTGAATGTATATTCTTCAAAAGAGATTTTGAAGAAGATAGACAAACTATCTGTGCTCACTTTGTTCTCAAATCCCCTAAGAAGACATAACGATCATGAAAGGTTTAAAGGAGAATATGAGTAGTAGATCGTTGCAATGTCATCAAAAAAAGAGGAGCAATAGCTAAGGGTACCCTTTCAACCTTATCCTATAGTCAGAACCTGTAGGGTGGATAAAGGCTCAAGGACACTAATCTTTATATTTCTCTTTTTTTTTTGTTATTAGATCTGCTTTGCTGTTTTCTCTTGGCTGTGACAATCTGCCAGGTGATCATTATAATAGCAGTTCACTACCAGTACCAACAAGAGTACTACATATAATTTTGTGGGAACTTCAGCAACTTTATCAAAAATTGTTATAGGACCACTGGCCTCATTCTGTGCTTGATCATCATAATTGTATCAAAAACGTAATTTCTGGACCAAACAAACACACAACCACTGCCAGTCTCACAAGATTCATTGTCGCCAAGAGCCCATTTGCTACACCTTTTAGGATTATTTTATCTTCTGAGGAGAGCATTGAGTCATGGATGCTGCGTCAATCCCTGTACTAGTTGGTGGGCTTGTTGATTGTCTAGCCCAGTTAATAATCATAGCTGAAGAGATTCTACAATTAATGTCACAAGAACAAGTTCCTTGTGTAGAACAAAATGATGCAGCAGAACAGCCAGGAGCAGATTCAGCTCCTCCTGAGGAAGCTTCACGGCAAGGTGCCGCTTTACTACCAGACCTCGCTAATCTACCAGATTTAGAATCAATACTTACACCAAAAGAAGAAGAAGAACTAATGTTTGATATAGATCAAGCTATGTTAGATGTAGAAAGCTTGTATGGAGAAGTACTCTCCAGTATAACTGATGACTTAAGATGTGGATGAGACCCTGTCAGCATATAAGAACTGACTGTTTTTCTGTTTCCAGTATTTTTTTTGTGTTTCAAATATTTTCCAGTTTTTCTGAATATTAGCAATCTGAATTTTCTTGTAGTTCTGCACATTTTCCTTAATAATACCTTATAGAACAAGTAGTATTTGATTTAGTTCCAGCAGAGGCTCATCTCCTTTCTTCTTTGTACTTACTTAAAAAGCTCTGACTGTAGCCATATAGTTCTTTCTTTACCTGTACTTGTTCTCCTGCTAGGATTCCTGATAACAGGTGCAAACAATAACAAAGAAAATAAACTCCTCACCTAAAAATGGAGTGAAGACCTGATGAACTCTATCACAGTTTGACACTCAATTTCATTGTTCTACAAGGAATGGAAGCTGAAAGAGGAATAATTCCCAGGATGGCATTATAGCAAATATATTCAAATTAACAGGACAATATTGGAACACTTTCACTTAAGAAGATATAACTTTTTACTTAAAAAGGCCTCCATACTAGGCCTTTAGGAAAGTGTGTCAACCAATGGATTCTACAGCAGACTAGGGGAAATGATTCTGAAAAAGCAACATCTACCAGATAATAAAGCTGCGAAAAGATTTTCAGATAACTTCCTCAAGGGAGAAAACTTTGAAAAAAGCTGAGGCCAAGAGGTTGCAATGCAGGACTATTTCCTCAAATGCTGATGCACATTGCAACTACTCTGCAATATTGTTCCCCAAATGGAAATGGCAAATTACATCAAATAACAGGAGAGAAGTACTAGTACTAGAAGGACTAGATAAAAACCTGCAAGGACTATTCACCAAAGGAAAGTCAAATACTTATGGAATAGATTTAGATATCATGGTCCACAAGTAGTAGTGGATAAAGTGTATCTTCTTGGGTATAGCTAAACTTATAAAGAATAGCTGATAGGCTTATTATAGCGAATCTGCTGCAGTCTTGACGTAGAAATTTTAACTATTGAGAGATGGGAACGATATGAATTTAAACAAAGTATGGACTGGTATTTAGCAACAATAATTCTACAGATACCAGGAGGGGAAAATGCCCTCCTGGAAGTTAGAGGACTTCCGTGTCAAAACAGAGAAAGGCCAAATAAATGTGTGGGAAATTCACTGATCATATTAAATCCATGTCATACAGTATCCTCCCTTCCACTTGGAAGAACAGGTACCTTTCAGACAAGCCTATGGACACTATGGTCATCCTTTCTAGAGAACAGCCTTTGTATCTCTTGACATGAGCAACAACTAGGTAAAGACATTCAAGTGTAGCATTAGACAAAGTGGTATATGCAAATTGTGAAGAAGTGACATGTAGAAGTCAATCCATACTGGTAGAAACCTGACTATATCAATTCATATAGAGTCCTAAAGCATATTGTAGTCAAAGGGACTAAAAGACATTTAGTTCAGATAACTTCAGACCTAACCAACATGACATATGCTGCATCTAATACCAAGGTCTGCATACATAGATATTGGCATACAATGGCATATTAATTTCAAGTGTACAACACAGTGATTCAACATTTATGTACTTTATGATGTAATCACACTAAGTCTAGTAACCATTTGTCACCATGCCAAGTTATTATAATATCATTGACTGTATTCCCTGTGCTATATATTACCACATCTCCATGGATTATTGACTTTTTAACTGGAAGTTTGTACCTCTTTAATCCCCTTCACCTTTTTCTTTCACCTCTCCCCCACTTCCTTTGAGAAACATCTGTTCTCTGTTTCTATGAGTTTTTCTTTGTTTTCTAATTAATTTTTTAAGATTCCATGTATAAGTAAAATCAAGTGGTATTTGTCTTTCTCTATATGACATTTCATTTAGCATATTACCTTCTATGCTTTAATTAAAGATTTAGAAACAGCAAGAGAAGATATAAACTCTGTGGTAGGAATTTGGACTTTGGGAAATTGTCTTATAATTTTGTGTCAAAATAAAGCTCAAAGCATCAATACTTGGGCAAGGTCAGGAAACATATAAAGGAGAGCCCATATAAGTCTGCTACAAATTATATTTTATGAGCAATTTAACTGTAAATGGACAAATCTGGTGCTTCTCAAATATAGATACTGAAGAGTAGCTATTGTCCTACTAGAATTCTGGAATATGGACTTTACAATTCTACAGCAGACTAGTGTGAACTTGTTAAAGCTGTTAGTATTAATGAGGGAACACAAGCAACCAATCTAACTGAAGCAAGTCATCAAATAAACCAAGAGGAATCTGCGAGACTATTCCAGACCTTGAAACAAGATAAAGCTTGAACCAGCCCATAAAACAACAAATGGTCAACGTGGTCCAGTATTAAAGCAGGAAAATGCTACAGCTTCATAATACATGGAGCTGGTTAGCTGCTTGGCTAGGTGGGTCACCTGGAAAGATTGTACTATAATGACAAATCAAGAATAGATAAAATATTGTAATGTTTGATTGTGTGATTATGTTTTTAACAATTGTTAAGATGTAACCCTACTCCAAGTAATAATATTTGCATTTATTCTTTGGAACAGAATTAGAAACAATCAATAGAGATAAGGAATAATTGTAGGAAATAAGAAAACACTTAGGAACAAGAGCTAGTAGGGGAAGTATTTTCCGAAGAGAGAAAAAATGTAGTAAGTTGCCAACATTTATGCAGCTGTTTATGGTGGAAAACCATAGAGTTATTTCCTAAACAGGTTTATGAACCTCGCCTTGTTTCTGTTATATGCAAATTAGCCAACCCTAAGTTGTTAATTCTGATAGAAATAGCTGGCTGGCAATTGACACAAGTCATGCACTTAGAAACATGATTAGATGGAGATATATTAACTAACTTGGCAGTCTACTTATGGGATGCCTCTGATTGGAATCTTGCATCTCTTCTCCAGGAGAATGAACAAAGTGGCTGATATTTTATCCAAACTAGCTCTTTCCTGGAATTTTTTAAAAAAATTTTATTGAATTTATTGGGGTGACATTGATTAATAAAATCACATAGGTTTCAGGTATATAATTCTCTAATATATCATTTGTATATTGTATTGTGTGTTCACCAGCCCAAGTCAAGTTTCCTTCAATTTCTGGATCTCCTTGAGATAGTCTCATCATTCTGAGAGAAACTTATAGGTGTGAAAACCAAGGGAGATAGGCTGGTAGATGGCAATGAATTAATAAGTACAAATCTTCCTCCTGTGTGTGATTACACAGTTGCATACTTATATGCAACTAGCAGTGATGATTACTGCTAGTTATTTGAATATAATCCTTATTAGCTATTGAATCATACAATTTTATTATTATGTGTTTTAACAGATTTTAACTAATAAACTTTTATTTGCAAATCAAAGAACTTGTGGTCATTTTAATTACTTGGTGGTGAGTTTGGAGTCTACCAAACAAGCAACAGAAGGCGGAGTATACTCAGAGAATATTATACCAGGTGTCTGAAGTTCTACTTCTGGATTTGTGAGATAATCCTGAACAAATCTCTGAAATATAGTCTTTTCTTACTTGTAAAATGAGAGTTAAAATAATTTTTCTGTCTATTCTCAATGGTAATAAGGAAAACAGAATGATACAGTTTTCAGTGGTCTTGGTATGGTATATTGGAAAATGGGACAGGATATGTGAAATAATGGCTTTTTTGGAATATCTGAAAAATGTCTATATGACAATACCTGCAAGTCTCTGTGACATGTAAAGATTGTACAATAGTTTTATACCTGTTTTATTAGAGATTAACACTTTCTTAATTTACTCCATGTCAAACTTATAGTTCAGGCTTAGTTTTTCTTCTGAGCTTGTTTTTTCTCTAACCAAGTTAAATTCTCTTTGGGAGTCCACTTGAGTTCTAGTAGGAGTACTAATGAGGAAAAAAACAACAATAAAAAAGCCTTTCAGGAAATAGTGAATTATGTTCCATTTAAGGTTAAGATTTTGTTCCTGAGGAGGTTACATAACTCTGAACATTATTAACTCACTATTGTCCAACTAAATTTTTACAATTTTTTTTTTACCTCAAAGCTGACTATTGTGTTGTTGTATTGGTACCTTTATCTTAACAGACTAGAGGTGTTTACTAGTTTTTTCTTGGACATACTTGTTACTTTTTCAAGGGCCCTATCCTTCTGGTCCACATCTAAAACTTGTTTTCTTCTGAATGTAAGACCCTTAGTTCACCAACCAAACAACCAACCAACCAACCAACCAACCAAACAAACAAACATGAAAAAAACTTAAAAATAACTCCTAGCTCCTGAAGTTATTTGGGAGTTATTTGTATTGACAGATACAGCTATATGTCAGTTTCAGATGTTACATCTCTTCAGGGTAATAAAGACTCTTTGAAGGTGATCTCCATTTATACCCTTGAAGAATGGAAATACATTTCAGCAAGGTAAGGAAAACCACTGAACTCTTTATCCCTTGTCACAATTTCATCTTAAAGACCCCAGTGAAATGCTGAAAGGATCTCAAGAGTGTTTTTTAGATTAACTCAAGTATTTATTGTAAAGTGGACTAGGGAGCCACAATTAGAAAACACTTTAGTATTTCATATTTGTTTAACCAAAGATGTCAACAAAATCTGTTGTTGAAAACACATAAACACACATGCTTCTAGATTATAACAAATTCTAGCAATATTATAATTTTAAAAGTTTTATTTTTACTTAAACACTGGCCTTTCTTGAAACTGTATTTTCTAAATTTTTAATGTTGGCAACTCCCTAACTTCCAGTTTTGGAAAATAGGTTGTTTTGCAACTCTTTTTACAGAGAAAAATATTGTCTGGATTTTTTCGTTTGCTTGTTTTTGTGGAATACAGCTTTTTAGCTCAAGGTTTAACAGACAAAGAGGTATGTTGTTTGTTTGACACTTTTGGATGTGGGCAGGCTAATCTTTGAGTACTTTTCTCTAGTGCAGGAGCCTCTGGTGCTCCTCTCTTACAATACCTCCTCTTGTTGAAAAAGTTTCTTTTTGTACT